TTTCCGGCGCACCGGGCGCACAGATCGCAGCGCTCGCACTGCACACAGTGCTCGTGCTGCTAAACCAGCGCACACGTGCGCCGCAACTATGGTACTTTATTATTTACGACTGTTGTTTTCGCTTACTCCTTCCAAAGGTTTTTCCCATGGTTGTTAGCCGGACGTCCGGATCGGGATCCAGACGGTCCGGTCTGGATGTCCGGATACGGTGTCCAGTTTGGGAGGTCCGGTTGTGCCCCATTTCTAGAAAATTGGAACGAAAAAATTGGGGTCCCCAGGCTATTTTCCTGTGCCTGGTGGACCCCCGAAAATTGTTGGTGCAGTTGTTGGACCATTGGGCCAACCAAACCGGCCATGAAGGGCCTGTACTTGCAATCTTGGGTGAGCTTCACCGGGCCAAGGAGAACTGGTTGTGCGTTTGTGCACCACAGTGTGTGTGTATGTGAGTGTGTTCAAGATAAGTCGGATAATACAACTACAACAGTGTGTGTGTTTGGTTTTTTTTTTTTTTTTTTTTTTTTTTTTTTTTTTTTTTTTTTTTTTTTTTTTTTTTTTTTTTTTTTTTTTTTTTTAATCCGGACATCCGGACCTGTTCTTTCATAACCGGACTGTCCGGGTCCGTATGTCCGGTTGTCCGGATCAGTGTCCGGATTACCGGACGTCCGGATTAATCCAGACATGGGTCCGGGTCAACCATGGTTTTTCCTGTGCTCTGCATCCAGTCAAAAAAGTTGAAAAACAGAAAAAAACTGTTTTTTGCATTTGGGTTTGTTTGGAGCAGAATGAGATGTTCCGGCAGTGCAACATTCACCCTTGCTTTGCTCCGCTCGTGGTGGGCAATTGCCTCATCATCATCATCATCATCATCATCACCATCAGCATCCATCCACTTTTGCACAGTCTGACTGCCCGTGCATCGATGCAGGACCCGGAGCTGTACTCTCGCCGGCCTCTGACCTGCAGTTCCAACTGACAGAATGTGAGGATCGTTTGTCAGAGAATTCTGACGGTCAGATCCTCTCTGATGTGTCAGAGACCGTGTTCCACGCTGGGGGTTTGTCAGGCGAGCTTTCGCTTCAGAGCGAATTCGACGAACAGTTAGAACAGTGCCTTTTTGCTGACTTGGATGGGGACGGGGACATTACGCTTGCCGATTATAGAAAGGCCATTTCCAGTGGATTGGAATGGAAGTCCTCTCCTGCAGGAGTTGGGCGGCGTTCTGGCCATCTGGGCGTTGACAACGAGCCGCCTCGTACGGCCTCACAAGATCTCTGTAATCCAGAAGGATCGGGACCCCCCATTCCCGAGGGATCAACACTATCCATTCAGGCGTGGACGGAGGAACAGCAGCAGGACGAACTGCTTCTCCCTGCCCACAATCAGGACCAACTCTCGTCTCCCATAACGGAGGGGTCCTCCGTCCCTGCCTCTGAAGGCGAGTTGCTTCGTCCTGGCCATGTGGAAGGTATTCTCGGGGGTTCGCCTGCCACGAAGTCCACCACCTCGATGGACTCTGCAATACAGAGTAGCAACGCTCCTCAGTGTAAAGGACTCTCCATGCCATCAGTTTCCAGCAGCCGGGCCATCCAGCGTGCATCCGAGGGGAACGCCATCCCGTCAAGCGTTGAGGGAAAATCACTTCCGGTGGGGCTTGGGGAAGCGATCCATCTCTTTGGGTCAGAAGGAATGAACAGTCGCCAAATGAAGAAAGAACCGACTGCCACAGCAGGTTCCATCAGTCGGTCCCTTCCGGTGTCGCAGGCTCGGGCACAGCCGAAGTTTACTGATGACGATGCATCGGAAAAACGGCCTGCTCCTCAGGGTAACGAGGGGGGGACGACAGATCCGGCAGACGCTGAAGAAAAAGTTGAAGTGCAACAGGCAGCAGTGCAGCAACTGCCTGTTGCTGCCGAGGGGCTGGAAGAACGGCCCGTTCAGAAAGCCGAAGGGGGACAGTTTACTACTGTGGGACCGGGGCAGGAACTGGGACTGGAACTGGGACTGGACCTGGACCTGGACCTGGAACTGGAACCAGATCCGGATTCCAATAGTACACTGGAAGGAAAACGGACAAAGATCAACTGGCTTTCTGAAGGTGAGCTAGGTACTGACGGATCATTGGGCGGGGAGTCCGGGGATCATACCATTATGGGGACTGAGAAGGAAGTTACTGCACAACGGTCGACAGAAAATGAAAATGCATTTCTGGGCAGGCTCGGCGATGCGTCATCGTCAGGTACACTTCTTTTTTTTTCCTTTTTTTTCCCTTTTTTTCCCCTTTTTTCCTCCTCCAAAACTATGCCACCCCACCGCATCACACTTGCACTTCAACTACCAGCAAGTGCCTTAGAAGCATGGTTGTGCCGGACCTGGACACCGGGCCAGTCCAGACGTCTGGTGTCCAGCCGGCCCTGTGTCTGAACTGCTGCAGACTGTCTGGATTGAGAAAACCCCTCCCCGTCTTTTAATTGAAAAAAAAAAAAACGTTTTTATATTTTTTTCCTTGGATTTGGCTACGAACTTCGAGATGGTCCTCAGCCAAAAGAGTTCTGCATTGCAATGCTGCACACCATATCTTTTTTGAAGTTTTTTTGAAAATTTTTTCAGGGTTTTTTTTTAAGCCGGATTTTCTTTTTGGGGTGGGGGTGGGGGAATGGATCCGGACACTCTGGACCGGACACCAGAACCCGGACATTCATACCCAGACCGTCTGCACTGCGGTCCGGAAGTCCGGACGTCCAGATCGTAACCATGCTTAGAAGTCATAACCCTTGCACAATTTGTGAGTTCAAACTTCAAAGTTAACGCCGAATAATTCCATACAATGTTTTTCGGACTTCGTGTTCGGTTCTGGGCATACATGATACATTGCCATAAAAGTACTTTTTATGGATATTGCCATCATATTGGATATTGGACAGAATATTTCCTTCACAAAGGACACTGAGCTGGCCTTTTGTTATACTGCTCAGGCCCCGTTATCCTTGCCTTCAGATTTGGGGATCAGGACATCCATATATAATGAACCCAAACTCGTGAGAAGCTTTAGACAACAGAATCATGCATGTCGTCTCTCTGACTATTGCAGTCACAAATTTCGCCAGCGAGTATCCAGATACAAGACAAAGATAGAGAAGAAGAAGTGGAGAAGTGGAGAAGTGGAGAAGTGGAGAAGTGCTCCAGCAATGATTAAAGAATGCAAGTAGCCAGCGCTTCCCTTCCCCCTTCTTCTTCATCCCACTCAACTCACCACCTCAGTAATATGCCCCTGTTATCACCGACAAAGTCTCGGTCCAGAATACCGCATCCACATGCGGTACCAACCTCCAGTGCAAAGCTCAGCTATGGAGGTTGGTTGCTCCTCATGATCAGTCTTCGGGAGCAATCTGTTTGTCTCATCAACCAGCAACAGCAGGTGAGTCAGGTAAGCCTCTCCCTTCTCTCTCGCAACACAGCTGTTGATCGCCCACTCAACTTCTCTCTCTCTCTCTCTCTCTCTCTCTCTCTCTCTCTCTCTCTCTCTCTCTCTCTCTCTCTCTCTCTCTCTCTCTCTCTCATAAGACCAATCAACTTCCTCACGAACAGAAACTCGTTGCAACACTTTGCGACGATACTGGGTGCTGGGTGCTGTGTCTACTTCTCGCTCCCTGCCTCCTCCAGCGTTCTCTAGAGAAGCGCTCACCAGAGCAACGCACACTGTAGAAGCTCTCATTGTAGCAACGCGCCGCCGCCCTTCCCCCCAGCATCCGCCTACCCCCATCTATCTAACTACGACCCCCTCTCCCCCCCCAATCAAGTGCCCCCTTTATTTATGTTTGCAGCTGGTGCAAGCCGGTCTTAATCCTGCCTCCAGTTTGCCTCCTCTAATGGCTGAGATTTGCCCATGTTGGATGGCCAAGATTTGCTGTGGGTTAGTGTGTACGTGAACCAATGGGTCTTTGAAACTTCTGGACCTCTGCAGACAGCCCTTGATGTGCATCTGGTCTCCTGCCGGCATTGGCCGTGTTTGACTCGCACTGCTGCACTGCTGGTTAACGGGGACCCCCCATTTTCAGCCCCTGAGTAACGGGCCAAAACTGAAATTAGGGTTTGACTCCTGGGAAATCTAATACTCTAGACTTGCTGTGCCCGTTTTGGGTCTGACTCTTGGAATCCAAGACTCGGGAAATGCTAAAAAAGGTCACCTGAGATCTTCTTTTGGCCTTCGACCCTATCCCTGTTGACTCGTGGACTTTTTGGAGCCCTCTCGAAAGAGGCAATGAGACTTTTCTTTTTACCTCTGAATCTGGACTTGAGCCAAAGGTTACGACTCTGGACAGGGTGCATATCACGACCGGTATGGTTCCACTTTCAACACTGTGTCCTGGCTGTAGTGGTTAAGAGACTTGGCTCCTGATGCCAAGGTCGCCGGTTCGAATCCGTGCTTGCACGGAGGAGGGCTTTGGCTCACTTGGATCTAGCACCTGTTAACCGACAGGGAAGAATACCCCGTATTGGTGTTCGGGCTAAGTACCGATGGAAGGGGTCCTGTGCAGCGGATTTGCCGTGTTCGTGGGATGTGTCCGTGTGGTGTTGTGTGTGGTGTGGGTTGTGATGGACACTACAGCCTTGCAGGGGTGGGGTGGATATCATGACCGGTATGGTTCCACTTTTTCCTGGCTGTAGTGGTTAAGAGACTTGGCTCATGAGGCCAAGGTTGCCAGTTGGACTCCCTGCTCGCACGGAGGAAGGCTTTGGCCCGCTTGTGCGGATCTATGCACCAGATTATGTCTGTACGGATTTTGAACGGAGTTCTTTCAACTTATTTGCATATGAAATTGGAACGATAATATAGGGAGCTAGGTTACTAGACCGTCCGCTGGAACTGCCTGGTCCAGAGCAGGTGCAAAATGGGACTGCCTGCTTAGCAGCTCTGCACTTGTCCTGAGCATGCAGAATCTGGCCTTACCCTTCTATTCATGGATGGGACACCCAGTGGAGTTTCAGTGTATCAACAGATTGAAGTGGCCCCTATAGATAACCCCAAGACAACTTTTAGAGCTAAAAAAAAAAAAAAAAAGACAACTTTTAGAACTACCGTCTTCCCGGTAGGCGCTTTCATAACGCACAGGCCATTCACACACCCCCCTTGGGACAACGCATGGTAAGATTTATACAGACACTGCCTGCACACCGCCCAAGGGGTCTAGGTCCATGGTTGTAGTATGATGGATAGGGCCATAGGGAGGGCTGCGCGAGTGCCTGGTCTTAGGGGGTCTGAGGATCAGAGTCTGAAGCTCATGTAGAAGCACCCACCGCTGGATCTGTTATCTTAGCGGGAATTCTCTTAAAATTGGGAACTTATGGTTCGGGCCGGGGGGAGAGGGGGGGCGGGGGGGATGGATAGGTTAGGGTAGATTAAAGGGGGAGGGTTTACTGCCTAGACTGTCGATAACCGAAAAACTGCCTGGACTGTCGATAACCACAAAACTGCCAAAACTGTCGAAACCGTCGATACCTCTGCGTGGCCACTTGGACCCTCCGATCTGTCAGTCCCGCCAGTATATACTAGTCTGTGGGGTGCCACGGTCGAGCCTGGGTACAGCTAGCATGTTTCCCGTCACTATGGCATCTGAACAAGAATCCACACAGAGTGAACTTAGACTACGGTAGGGCCCATCTCGGGGGGGATAATCCTACGCACACACTGGGTGTTAGTATGGGGTAGGTACTGGGTACTTCTCATCCCACAGGTATCTGACGATGCCTGTGGGTGGTGCCTCATCCAGGTTGGGGTCCGTGGGAATTCTCATTGGGGGAATTAGTCAGGACTGTGGATTCTTGGGGAGCCTGGGGTAAGAAGGCATCATGCTTAGGATAAGAGAGGGCAGGATATCGCATCTTAGTGGAAGGGCAGTTCGCTGCCCATAGAGTCTGCGGGATGAGGCACAGATGGGGGATGACCACATATGCATGGACCCCATCTGTGCCCGGGTCATCCTTAACATTAGAGTTATGGGAGGGTAGTGTCTGCACGAAGATGTTCGGGTTAGTCCAGTAAGCGTTGACACAGATCACGACTTGCACAACTTGCGATCTGAGCTTTAGCATAGGTCGTGGTACCGTCATGGTGCCATCCTGAGGTGACTCCCCAATGGATGGGTCCTCGCAATCCATCTGACCTCCCTCCCAATGGATGAGCACTATGGGCACCTCCTGAGGCCTGGCCACCACCCTCTACTACACTTTGGATTTTCATATTAAAAAAAAAAAGAACTACCGTCTTCACCCAAATAGAATACCCGGTCATCATAGCTGCAGCTGAACTGAAAGTTGCCCCAAATACAGCTATAATGACTGGGCGGGCGCTCTATTCAGGTGAAGACGGTAGGTATGGTACTATGGTCACTACGAGTTTACTGTGATGCCTTTTGCTCTGACTATCACCCTTGCTACTTTCCTGCGATGCATGAATGACTTATTCAGAGATTGACTTGTAGTTCTGTATTTAGATGACATCTTGATTTTTGTTAAGACTTCGGAAGAGCACAAAGAGCATCTATGCAAATTTCTCTCAAAGCTGAGAGAGGACCAGTTTTTAAGTTAAGAGTTAAAACCCAAGGAGTGTGAGTCGGCGAAGCAGCGTCTGCTGTATCTCGGCCAGGCCATAGACGGAGATGGTGTACACTGTACAGCCTAATAACATGAAGATTGCAGGAATCTCTTGGATATGAACTTGGGATTTAACTTAAACTTCTCCTGTAGACAATGCATCAGCGATGACATTGTATTTCCCCTTCACCAATTTTAGCTCAAACTGGTCTATTAACCTAGCTCGTTGTTATTGGCGGACCTTCAGTGGTTTAGGGGCAGAGTGAGTGGGGGGTACATAATCTACATAGTCATCAAGCTGCAGAAGATCAATTTGCTGTATCTGCAGGGGGGGACGGGAGAAAGGTCGTCATGCATTTCGGGCGCCCAGCAGCAAGGCTGAAGAGGCCCCTTCTTCCCCCCTCTCTGGTTACTCATATTCTTGCGCAGTCAATCCCCTGTTCTCAGGGCAATCAATGCTGGCAGAATGATGAGGAAATCTTCAGAAGGAAATCAATGGCTTTGTTAAGGGACGCTGGACCCGTTTTCCAGCAGGTGTTGCTCCCCACTAATAGATGGAGCCTCCCCGGGAGAGATAGAGGCGTCTGCTCATACCAGCAGCGCCCCTAGCTCCCAAACGGGCAGTTTTTTCAAAAAAAAAAAAAA